ATTCAACTTTGTGACACACATAGATTTTTGCACCTGAACACTTTGGAGAAAATATAGAACTAAAATATTATGCATAAAAAGATAGTTGAAATGGGTTTCATGTTCAGTTTTAATTTTGCTTGCATATATTATAAACATGTTGAACTTAATGTTGTATCTGAGATACATATAAAATGTTCAAAATTTCTTGGAATTTTTGTATTTGAAATTGGAGCATGGTTTCAGAGCTATCACTGCATACTTGGTTGGTAGCTGTAAGGCTACAGTTATCTGCACAGAACTTTAAAAATAAGGAAAAACAATGAAGAAGATATAAGCAGTGCTTTTCAAAATGCCTTTGTCTAAAAATTGAAAGGTGAACTGATATTTAGGTATTTTCTGAACTTAAATTTCTCTTAATGAACAATAGTGTGAAATTTGTAGAAACACTTTGACAGTGTGACTTAGTTTTCTGAGAACTAAAATCCAGATTCCTGCATGTGAATGATATTTGTAGGAGCAGAAAGGACAAGGGATGAAGCAGTACTCTGCCTTCTGAGTCATATCAATGATGTCAGACTCTTGGATTCAGTGGTATGATGATGTCTTTCAGACTTTCACTTCTCCAATTCATCAAACAGTTATGCAAGCAATGATTCCGTATTGTTTGAAATATGTGGAGGTGGTTTGTTTCTGCTCTGATTTACTACTGACACAGTGGTCATAGTAATACGATGTTTCAACATAAATCAAAATGATCAAACTTTGATAAATTCTCAGTGGTTTGTAAAATGAGTTACCTGATATTATAGTTTTGGTACAATTGTAGGAAAAGTAACTATAATTGAAAAGATGATAAAAATATTCTCTATCACTTATTTGGGACTATTGTATGGCAAGCACTTTTCTAATCATGTTATGTTTTATTTCAGTTAATCTCACAATTATTATTTTTAAGTGATGTGTATTAAACCCCAGATTTATGGCTTCAGAAACAGAAGAATCAAGATTCTGTAGATAATGCCCATTATTATATAAATACAAAGAGTTGAAGACTTAATTTGTAAATCCAACCATTTGGCACCAGAATTTATGTTTTTAATAATTTTAATATCCTACTTTGAAGTTTGAGCATACAAAGCTTAAAGGAATAAAATAGACACTGAAAATCTAAAAAGAGACTGGACACAAGAATTGGTATATAGTGTTAGTGAAGGAGAAAAAAAACACTTAAACCGTTCCTTAGAAGAGTAGCAGAGAAGCTGGAACAATAGTACGTCGGGTAAGGCATTTCTCTTGCATGTCGATGACCTGGATTCGATCTCTGGCATTCCATATAGTCCCCTGAACACCACTAGGAGTAATTCTTTAGTGCAGAACCAGAAGTTACCCCTGAGCATTACCAAGTGTGATTAAAAAAAGCCAACAAATAAAAAAAAAAGATCAGCAGAGTAGTAACTTTAAAAAAATATGTCATTTACTTCCCATGGAGTTATGTGTGCACATTCTTAAGGAAGTGTGGCTCAGTGGGAGTAATCAAAGCAAGAGGAAGTGAAAACATTGTATTAACAAGAGACTTAGAGGCAGCATGTGGGAATCAAGATTTACTGTCATGGCAGAGAAGTAGTAACTCATCTATAAGGATACAAATACAGAATGTAAGTAATTTCTGTGCAGGAAAACGTCCATGAAATCACTGAGTATGATTGATCTATACTTGATGGATCCACTGAACATAGGTAAATTGCAGTGTCTTGTTTTTTTTCTATTCTTGTGGAAAAAATTCTTTTATATATAACAAATATATAGCAATACTTTTAGACTTAGCAGGCAGAAAATGGTAATTGAAAATGGTTATTTTATGACAAATGATAAATATAGTGATTTATGGGAAGGAATTTCCAGTTTTCAACTTAAAAATTTTGTACACATTTGTAGTCATTTGGCTTAAAGACCTTAGAAACAGAATTAAATATGTACAGGACTTAGGAAGTCATTAATATTCATTTAACATGTTTATCTGTTTTTGTTTTATATTGCCATTATTATTTGGTGAGTTAAATATATTAGTGTACAACCCTCAAGTCACACTCATTTTCAGGTGACTAAGCAATAATATGGGTAGACTCATTAAAAATAATCTCTCTATTCTCTGTTTGTTTTTGCGCTTTTTGATCATATAACATGAGAAAATGCCTACTGGGGTTGGAAAGATAGTACAGTACTCGGGTGCTTGCCATGCTTGTGGCCAATCTGGGTTTAATCAGGGGGCCTCCTGAAACTCTTCATAAGTGATCCCTAAATGTAAAGCCAGGAGCCAGGAGTAAACCCTGAGCAAAGTTAAGTGTGGTCCCCTGAACACCCCCAAATCACCTCAAGTCACTACTATTTCTCTAGTCTTCTCTGGCAGCTGGAATACACTAGGAGTTCATATTTAAAAGATGGATATGACTTAGCCTGCAAAGTTGCCAGCAATGATGTGATAATAATGATGACAGAATCTGCACATGAACCAATGGTTATGTAACACTGTGCCTCAAAACCTTTAACATTCTATTGAGTCAATCTAGTTTTAATAGAATGTGTCTCTTATTACAATTTAATAGTCTCACTCATAAACTGGAAGCTGACAAAGCAACACATGAAGATAGGATTATTTTAAAATACGTATTTCATAAGACCTCCAATGGCTGATTCTAATTGCTTAGAAAAAGTACCCTGAGGATGTTAAATATTTATGCCAGAGCACAAAGAACATTATTAGAAGACTACAGGTACTAACTGATAATATTTTGAAGAACCATTGAAAGAGAGTACCAACTTAAGATAGTGGTTAAATCAAAACAAATCCAAGATATTGACTGAAGATGTGCATAAGGAGAGAGAAAACTCAATAATACACTTGAATTTTGTGAAGCTGTTATGTACAGATTATTATACATGAATTCACACAAATTTTTATATTAAGCATCATATTAATGCTACCTTATAAATATTTTACCTAATTGCTTTCACTTATACTGAGATAAAATTATGAACAAAATTATATAAGCTTAATGAACACAGTATAAAATCTATATTATTCTAAAAGATAGCTGGTAGGTATCACTCCTTTGTAAATTTTTTGCTTTAGAGTCATTCTCATAGAAATGTTACTTACACCATAATTGACAAAAAAAAATAATTTGTATGACAGTAATACAAAATTCTAGAATCCGAATATTCAGAATCTACAAATGTACATTGTGTTTGTGTGAACCAATTCTATTCTATTAGATATTTATACTCACCTCTCTATATTTAAAAGTCTTGGAAAATAAAACACTCAAGTGAGAGAAGGAATCCGGAGTTCCGGCCTCCATCAATGATCAAGAATAAGGGACACTGTCTCATTTGCCAAGGCATCGAAAATGAGAGGGGCTGGACATGTGATGCGATTTAGAGATGACAGCTGGACTAGAGCTGTTACTGACTGGATTCCATGGGATGTCAAAAGGACGTGTGACTGCCCACTACGAGATGGTCAGACTTCTTCATCAAAATCCTGAACAAACAGTTTGAGGCTCTTCATGTTCCTGTAGTGAGCAGATGCCATTGGGCTACACTAGCATGTGACAGGGACGGATGGAGAGATTACTGGTGCCCACTCGAGCAAATTGAAGATCAACGGGATGAGAAGTGATATAAGTGAAACAAGTGAAAACAAAAAAAACACATTTGTTTTTCTTCAAGAGCTCTTTTCCTCTACACTGTGTTTCACAAAATAATTACTTTACAGCGGAGTAGAAAGACAGTGATTCCAGTTTTACCTATATTGCAAAGCAGATGTATACTACATAGACAATTGGTATTACTTAATAAAAACTGTGTTCCATTATGTAAAGTGTAGAGATAGAAAAGATATTTGGAAGGCCCTCCCGTTGATCATCGATTTGCTCGAGCGGGCCCAGTAACGTCTCCATTGGAGACTTTGTTGTTACTGTGTTTGGCATATCGAGTACGTCATGGGGAGCTTGCCTGGCTCTGCCGTGCAGGCGAGATACTCTCGGTAGCTTGCCGGGCTCTCTGAGAGGGGCAGAGGAATCGAACTCGGGTCGGCCATGTTGGCTGCATGCAAGGCAAACGCCCTACCACTGTGCTATCGCTCCATTATGTAAAGTGTAGAGATAGAAAAGATATTTGGAAAAAATATAGTATAACAATGAATCATAAATTGCTATATATATATAAAGATCAAATGAAGCATGTCTGAATGCAGTTGGGAGAGTCTGAAGCAAGTTCAATATGGTGGAGGAGCAAGGGCAGAGATGGTACATTCAAAGTGAGTTAGATAAAAGGAATCCCCTATTGTTTTTTAAATCATAATTATGAACTAAAAATTATAAATGAGTTATAATAAATGTTAGGGTCTTTTATGGCCACAACAAGATGTCAGTCAGTTCTTATTAAATAAGGTATAGCTATCTTTTGACCACAAATATTCCTTTTGCATAGTTACATGTGTAGGTTACTCAAAGAAGCAGAGTAGAGAAAGGCAATCAGAATCCTTTATTAATATTTCTTTCCATCACCTGTAACATGGGCATACTAACTCCAACTCATGGTTTTACAGTTAATGATATGATACCTAATACTATAATGTTTACAAAATACTAGCTGCAACTTGTAGGAGAAATGTCCTTCAGTTAAGTAGCTGGGAAAGTTTAGACATTTATACTTACGTCAAGGAAGACTTGAACTTGAATACTGAGCCATGGAGGCTACTGAGTAGAGGAAGAGAGGATAATTTGGAAGACATAGTTTTCAAAAGTAAATGCTTTTTCTAAGGTAGAAAATCATAGTGACTCCCTTAATCATACACATATTATATCACTGCTAGATAATGTGAGCAGACAAGACAATACTGATCTTAGCCTAAGGGTGCTTTTTGAGAATGTCATTTAAGATTTATCTCTATAAATTATATTTTAGCTATAATTTGCAGGAATAATTGAGAGTCTAGATTTCCTATTTATTTTCACCAGAGGAGAGTGTGAGCACTGTCTCCCACTATCACAAATTACAGGGTTGAGTTTCCCACATTTGAAGAAATCACAGGGATTAACACACCCAGAGTGAAATAGATGAGCCTCTCCCTGGGAAAGCTGTGGGATCAAGGCATGACGATGCTGATCCCCTCCTAGGTAAATATGAGAGGGTTTAGATTTCATTACGAGAGTCAAAGAAAGAAATTTACCTGGTTAAGGTATGACACAGTTTCCTTATGGGCTTCCAGGGAAATCTACTGAATTTACTGTGAATGAATTGCTAGAATAACAAGAGTTATAAGGAATAGGGAGGAGTTATTAAGGAATTATAAAGGACAAAATAACTTGACCAGGTCAGTTCTAAGTTTCTAAACAATCATTACCTCAAAACCTTTATTGACCTGATTGGAAACCTCTTCATGTTTTCTAAATACTGACTTCACTTAAGGACTCTCAAAGATTTTATGGCCTAATAATTTTAGGTCTGATGAAAAGACAATTTGCTTCAACAAAATCACTTAAATCTATGCTTCCTATAAATTATTTCATTTTGATACTCCCAACTACTTTCCTCTTTCTCATTTACTTCAATTTCAGAGCAAAAACACATATGCCTTCCAGGTGGCTTATAGATTTATTTAATTTGGAAACTGCAACCTGAAACTATTTTTCCTTCTACTTACATGCTCACTGAGCTGGCTATGTCCTATTTCTGATTGTTATTGAAAGTTCCTGAAATATCATATGCTGCCCCTTGTTCCCAAAGATGAGTCTGTCTGTGGCAATCAGTCAGGAAAAAATGTGTTATATAATTAATTTTGAGATTTCTTTGGAGAGCAACATACTTTCTCATCTTGTTTATACTTTGTAGGCAATTTAGGGAAACTGTCTTATGGTTAAGAGATAATAGTCCTCATTTTTCAAGCATAATTTTAAATTATTATCTTAGTTGTAAGTAGTGACTACTAAGATGGAATAAATTCATATATTCAACAAGGACTTATACTGTGACTCATATTCAAAGGTCTATTTAGGCATTTGTTATAAATTAATTATACAATCCTACATTTGAAAGACAACATCAGAATATTGAAAAGATAAGCATTTAAATAGATAACAACATTGTTATGTTATGAAAGAGTTTATCATAAGACTATTAAACTTGGAATGGTACCACACAGGATTAAGTATAGACAGTTAATATGAAAGGTTTTACTAAGATTGACAGGTCATAAGTTTGGTTGTAAAGAACAAAAATCAACTAATTAGCAGGATGAGTCTGTTCTAAGCAGACATTCAGTGGCAAAAAATTCAGTAAATGTGGAGATGGGAGTAGGTCCAGAGAAAGATGTGAGCATTTCAGAACTGTTAGAGTGAGATATATATCTGGAGAGATACACAGAGGCTCTTTCTTAGAGAATTTATATGCTACCTTAATGATCTTAATTTATAAATGTTAAGTGCTTCAATCATTTTTAGGTTTAAAGAGAAAGTGATGCATTTAATTTGTATTTTAGTTCAAATATAGTCAGTTGTGGGGAACCAAACCCAAAACTAGTGCTTACATAAGGTGAAGCAAATACATAAAGTAAATGTTGGCACTTTATCGTTTTTATTGGTATTTATGCCGCAAATATTAAAGTCTAGTAGTATCCCACCTTCATTTGTTTCCATTTTTAAAGCATATGCATTGGAGCTGGAGAGATAGAACAGTGGGCCAGCCAGGCGCTTACTTTTAAGGTGCCAGCCCAAGTTTGATCCCTGGAATTCCATATGATCCCCCAAGCAACACCAGAAATAAGCCCTAAGGAAAGAGCTAGGAATAAGCCCTAAACCAGCAAGATACAGTACAAAAACCAATATAAATAAATAAATAAATAAATGAAAAACATTATACTTAAGCTAAAAAACGTTCAAGTAAGCTTGGAATATTATGTGACTCACTCTATTATTCCCTCTATTATTATAATTTATATAATTTAAATGTATAATTTATAATCCTGCCCACATGGCTGAGCCTGGCAAGTTATCTGTGCTGTATTCAATATGCCAAAACCAGTAAGTACAATGGGTCTCATTCCCCTGACCCTTTCAGGGTCACCAATATGACAGCATAAAGAAGAATGAGGAAGAAGAGGCTGATAAAATCTTAAGGCGACCTAGACTGCCAAAACAAAGAAGGACTAAAATGACTGGCTGTGGGATGATATGGGGTGGTTGGGGTGCTGAGTCCCGACCTGCGGGACTCCATCTATGAGGGATATCCTTGGCGAGGGAGCTCCTGAATGAGAAGAAATGAATGTACATCTTGGACAGGGAACATGCAACGACCTTTATTGTCTGCAAGGCACTTATATACCTTAAGGTGACACGTGTGTGAAACAGAATGGGTGACCTCTGTCGTAGCTAATGGTCAGTGGACCGACAGTCAAGATATCTATATAAGGAGGGCTAATGGTCAGTGGAGGACAGTCAAAATAGCCGTATAAGGAGTAGAGAGTTACAGAGGGGCTAGCCAGGTTGCATCATCCAAGGGCCGCGTGGTGGGATGTCATGTGCTTGTGAGTAATGTACAGACTAACAGAGCCAAGATGGAGACCTGGCTCCCCACAACTGGCTGTATTTTCAATGCACACACACTGGCATCAGATGCATCCATCGAGGACCTAATGATGCAAGTGCGAAAGATCAAGTACGACATCATTGGTCTGACTGAGATGAGAAAGCATCAACCACATCACACAACGGGAGAAGAACTGTTCCTCAGAACATGTGACAAAAGAGGTGTCGGTGGTGTCGGTGTCCTTGTCAACACGAACTTGGACATGAGCAACGATTCATTCGAATGCCTAACAACCCAATTGGAAGATTACACTTGAATAGATGTGGCTCACTGCTGCAGTTTCTATCTTTGTTGTCTAGCCACCAAAATCCAATTATGATGAAGAAGAAATTGAGAAGTTCTACATGGAGCTGGAGAAGTTCTATAAAGAAGACCACACCTTCTAAAAGATCATTGTCAGTGATTTTAATGCCAAGATAGGACCAAGAAGATCAGCAGAAGAATTCTACATTGGGACCCATGGCCTAGAATGGAACAAACAGGGTGAGAGACTGTCTGAGTTCATCATGTCAACCAAGGCCATCCATGGTAACTCACAATTCCAGAAGGCCAAATCTAAATGTTGGACATGGGAGTCTCCCGGTAGACAGTTCCACAATGAAATTGACCACATCGTATTCAATTGATGGTTTTGCCTGACCGATGTCGCTGTTGTCCCAAAATTTCAAACGGGATCAGACCACCGTCTCTTTTGTGCAAAATTCTACTTCACGGAGCAGGGAGAAAGGACTGGAAAGTTTAAGAAGAGAACTCCCAGAACGACCACCAATTGGAAGCTCTTTGGCACTATTGCAGCAAGATGGGAAGATGTCATCTTGACGAAGAATACTATTGACTGGTTCAGCACTTCCATAATTGTGAAAGGAACACCGAGAGAGAGAGAGAGATAGCCATAAAAAGTCACCTGTCTTTGAAAACTCTTCAATTTATTCACCAACTTGACTTGGCGCAAGTCTCAGGCAACCACAAGCTAACACCCGAGCTCGGAAAGCAGTGCAGAGAAGCGATAAAGGAAGACCTTAAAGAGAGAAGAACAGCAGTGCTGGCAGATGTGGCAGAAGCTGGGAAAAGCATTCGCACTGCCTGCCTGTCCTTTGCCAACTACAAGACCAAGATGACTGCCCTCTGATGTCATTATGAATCTATCACATCTTCTAGAAGGCAATGGAGAAGATTATCCATGACTTCTACTCGAATCTCTTTGATAGCCATGTCTACCTGCCCACATACCAAATCCTGCAGGATGGATATGTCTTTCCCAGAATTATCCCTTCTGAAATCCAACATTTCATCGGTAAAGAAGCGAACACACCCGGCCCATTCGAGGTTACACCTGAACACCTGAAGAACCTGCCATCAGTACTCATCAATACACTGGCTCAGCTCTTCACATGGTACCTGTCTGAATGCAAGATTCCGTCCCAGTGGAAAATCAGCAGGACTGTACTACTGTACGAGAAGGGAGACATCAACGACATTCACAACTTTCACCAAATCTGCCTGTTGTCCATCATTTAAAAGCTGTTCACTGGAGTCATCCTGAACAGGATTGGCAGAACACTAGATGAAGGATAACCATTTGAGAAAGCTGGGTTCCAAAAATGGATTAAGTAAGACAGACCATATCCTCACAGTATGTAGAAACCTCATTGAGGTTTCTCGGGAGTTCAAGATGGTACTCTGTCTATACTTTCATTGATTTAAAGAAGGCCTTTGATTCTGTTGAGACTGAAGTGGTCATCGAAGCCCTAGCCAAACAAGGCTTTCAAACTCAATACATCAGGATTCTCCATGAGCTTATTATGGATTCACTACCTGGATCTTACCATTCTACAAGGAAGTGATCATGCATGTCAAGAGAGGGGTATGGCATGGTAATACCACTCCAAAGAGACTCTTCAGTGTCACCCTCGAGAACATCATGCGAGGACTGCAATGGGAAGGAGTTGGAGTGAAGATAGACGCTTGGCAACTACACCACCTCTGCTCTGCTGATGACATCTTTCTAATACCACCAAACATTAGCCAAGCGGCACAAATGCTGGCCGACTTCAACCGTGGATGTGGAAAGGTCAGAGGATAGCTGAATCTCATGAAGACAATATTTATGAGAAATGGACTCGTTCCTGACGGTCCATTCACTCTCAACAGAATGAACATCTCCAAATGCAATTGTTATGTGTACCGAGGTTGAGAAGTCAATATGACGAATGACCTGGCTCCTGAGTTGCACAGGAGGACGAAAACAGCTTGGAACGCCTTCAAGAGCCTTGAAGAAGCAGCCAAGTGGACAAAGAACCTCCGGCTCTGGGCACATCTCTTCGATTTCACTGTCCTTCATACATTAACATGCCTCAGAGACCTTGACCCTACGAAAACAAGATGAGAACTCTATTCGGGTCTCCCAAAGAGGAATCGAAAGAGCTATGCTTGGAGTATCATGCTTCACTGAAATGAGAGAAAGAATCCGGAGCTCCGACCTCCATAGACCATCTAGAATCAGGGACGCTGTCTCATTTGCCAAGGCATCGAATATTAGAT